ATTACCATTCATAGCTGTAAAACGTTTTCGAAAACCTTCAGCAATACCAAGAGCTGGGATACGTCTAACAATCTTGGATCGCTTCAGATACCGAACATATGTTGAACGATTTAGAAATCGATGTTGCCAGCTTCTGAGCATATTATTTTAAACCGTGCGGCTGCTAGTGAAGCGAAACTCTGAGCTCTACTATCCTTGAGTCCGTACATGATTTGGAGAACCTAGTCCGGGAAAACTAGGTCTGTTTTTATGGGTAGAAAAAATAGAGGTGGCCGGGAACTGGATTCGAATACAGCAGCAAACGGTCGATGTGGTTGTCGAACGCTGACGAGCGCAGCACAGATTTACCATAAGATGTAGACCACATCTACTATCCTTCAAAACAATCGTGCGGCGCATACTGTTCATGCACCTTACCTCGTCGTTATTTATGACAGATAGTTCCTTCATGTTGTTTCCCCATTTCTGTTGCAGAACTTAGTTGTCTAAGAGGTGGGGAGGGGAGGCTGACAGGGAAAACAGTATTGGTTCAAATATGTGTAACTGCATCCGGAACACCACAGGTTGTAGGGGGAAAATGTAATGTAATGTAGGCGAATGGTTTATTATTTTTGCTGAAATGCACAAGAAAACAATTGCTGTGTTTTGTTTAAAAAAATCAGTAGTAATGCATTCGTTTCCATAGTCTCCTGACATGATTTATTTTTGAAAAACAGCATTTCACCCACTCTCAATGTTCAAACTTTTATTTGCACATACCTACTCATATTCTGTTTTGCCGTATCTAGCTTGTCTACCTGTTAGACAAGAAGGACGTTTCCACAGAATCACGCCATTGCTTGCTTCATTGACAAAGACAATATCATCTACTGTATTCATATTCATTATATATGATTTTGTAAATTTTAAACCCCCAAATATGGTGTATAAATGCCGAAAATTCACCTATCCTGGTGCATAAAGCTACTATTGACTTGACTTGACTTGATTTTCCGGCACTAATCCCAGTGAGGAAAATCAGGCCAGATTACGTTCGAGAGCATGGATGAAGTACCCTTCGTCCGAATGGTGTTGAATTCTTCTTTTCAAATAAGCCCAATTTCACTTGGGTCTGCCTACTCAGCGCTACAATGGAAGAATGGCATGAGTGATCGTGAGCTGCTTTGACTAGCCGGTCGGTGTTCTTCATCCGCTGAAGGAGAAAAACAATCAGGTGGAATTTGAAACGTCTTCACTTTCGGTTGCCTTCCTTTAAGCGTGATTCTTTTTAATGCTTTTATTCCCTTTTTATTTGTTGACTATAGAAATGTACAATAAACTTTCAGGAAGCATACTGTAGTCATATAAATGCTGCCTGGGAAAATACGGATAATAGATGGCAGTGGTGGGATTCGAACTCAAGACCGCCACTTTGTTGTTTTGATGATCTTACCACTCGACCACCGCATCAAAAACGAGAGACAAAAAAATCGAATTTATTTCATAAATACGATAAGGTGAATTTCAGGAAAACGAAACAAATTGTATCTCCTTAAACAATACATCGATAAGCCCGAGAAAACAGTTTTTCACACAATGAACCTGTGCCATTTTGGGCAGATAGCTCTGCTACCACAGTTGATAGTTTTTAGATCGACCCTTTTTTCAAATCGCGAGATCCTCACTCGATGTTTATCTGATTGAGGAGTACGGTCTTGTGTTCAAATAAGGCTACAAATGGGTGCCTAAGACTTTAGGGCACGACGTACTTCACGGCAGCCCACACCGATGAAGGGATTTTTCTTTGGGAACACTAACCGAGCCTTTGACTCAAAAGTCGGACCCACAAGGCAGTGGGGCGTAAATCCAACGCGGGAGCGTGAACGGATCACCGGTTGGGAGCTTCCAGAGATCTGATACGCAGGACCCTCGCGTTTCGGGTAAGTCTTTTGTTCTCTGGTGCGTTGATTGATGGTCCACTTTTCGGGATCGGTCCTTTTCCTCATGCACTCAATGAAACAAGCGGAATGTGGACGGGACAGTACCTTGTTGGCTGGGAGCTGCTCAGCTTGGGCGGGTGGTAGCTGCCCAATGAAGGGTGAAGACTTCTCCCATAGTCAAGAGGAAGCACCAGGTAACCCGCTGCCACATCCATCAAGCGGGGATTTCCGACCGGTAAACTGCCCCCTAATCGCGTTTATTTACTGGAGGGACCCCTCCAGGGGCGAATGTGGATAGAAGATAAAAGCCAGGAGGTGCCCAAGCAGCTGACTTTGTGAGAATGAGCTTTGTCTGGCCTCTATCCATTGACCTCCCAGGCATGATTGGATCATCATCATCATCTTGTGTGGCTGGCAGGTTCATGGAGGCATGTAAGCCATCACACCACGTCATGGTGCAGTCTCATCGTGATGGACACACACCAGGATCATTTATCATTGAAAACGGTCACACAGAAAAAGGTAAAATACAACGCCGTATATTTAAGAGAGGAAGATGGCATAAAAATGTGAAAATAATTATCATTTACCCAGGATTTTTTTAAATTTTCTCTGACGGATGCTTTCTGTGCCAGAAATCTCGAAAGATGTGGGATAATGGACAAACGTTGGTCAGTGGTACGAGTATACACAAGTTTATAATGACACCTAATTACGTTTGTAGATACAAAATGCCGAAGTGTTTTATGTATGTAATGGGTGGTGATGTGTAATAGAATATTGCTGCAGAATTTTTCGCAAGTGTCTGTCGGCTATCAATTCCAGCAAGTATAGATAAGGAATACCGCTTGTGTTATATAAGTTGTAATTTTGAAAACACAGCGATGTCGGTACAGGTGAAAATAAGCCGACGTTTCGGTTACCGTGGGTAACCTTTATCAAGGCTATTTTACAATCGATTGTAAAAGAGAGCTTTTGATTATTCAATACCTTGGTGAGATTACTCTGACTTTATTCAATGATAGATAATTCACTGCATTCCGCTGCTAATATATAGGGCTCACTTAGATCTAAATTTGTTGAGTACCGCGTTGGAGGAATTTCCGGCTCTGTGGATAGTTTTACTCCGCAATTTTTCTGTTGAAGACGTCGGAAAAACGTCTATTGATCCAATTCAAAAGCAAACAGTGTATGCGTTCGACAGCTCCAACGTGGCATTCGGTGGGTATCTTTCCCGTTAGGTGCGGATTGTCTGTCAGGCTGTAATTATCGATTCGCCCGTTTCGGGTGGCAGTCAACATTGTCTCGCGAGGCACTTCCCGACGCTGCGTCTGCGCGTCTGGTCGGATGAGCCCCATTCTTGATTCTAGCCAGGACTCTTTTTGTACTACCTTCCGTCACACTTGCCCCTCCTCTGAAATGATTGCCGCGGGTGAACCACCGCTCCAATTCTTTACCATTTACCCATCTTCCTTGAGGACCCTGATTGATCCGAAAGCTGTCGTTCTTCCTCTCTAGAACGGTGAATGGCCCCATCCTAGCTGCTTGAACTTTCCGGCCCCCGGTCCTGTTGTTTCGGGTCTGCCTTGGTTCTTAACTTTTACCAGCTGTCCCGGTACGAACGGCTGCCACATTTGTGATCAGTGTTCTTTGTCGTACCTGGCCTTGTTGCGCTGCTGGGTTTGTCTTGCTTTCTCAACCGCTTCTCTCTCCAGTTTGTCTCGCTTCTTCGTGAAAAGCTGTGCGCCGGATCTTCCGGGTAACGCATCAAGAGGCGTTCTGGGCTCTCTACCGTATATGATTTCTAAGGGTGGTATCTCTGTTGTCGAATGAGATGTTGTTTTGTAGTTGAAAAGGATTTCCGGTAGGCTTCCTTCCCAATCACCGCGATGGTTACTGAGTCATTCCTGTTGAAACTTTCAGTCATTTCGTTGGCCTGCTGATGATAGGGGAACTTTCTTGTTTGTTTGATGCCCCAGCGCTCTAAGGTCTCCCGGAAAATCTTGGATTCGAAACACGGTCCCTGGTTGGTAATGACATTTTCCGGGATACCGAATCGTGCAACCACGTTATTTATAAATATCCGAACAACCGTTTCTCCTGTTTGATCTGAGGCTGGTCTCGCTTCCACCCAGCGAGATACGAGTTCGACCATTACGAGAATTTACTTGTTCCCGCTTGGACTAATAGGCAGAGGTCTAAACACATCCAATCCCCAGGTTTAAAGTACTCTCTTTGTGTCTATTGGTTGCATTGGCAGTGTTGATGGCGGCGTGTATTTATTATGTTGGCACTCGGGGCAAGAACGAATTCAATTACATCCCGGCGCATCGTTGGCCAGAACACGCGACGTCGTAATGAGGCGAGAACTCATTGCCGTCCCATGTGTGCTCCATCGTGTGCAAGCTTCAACACCCGTNGCTGGGATGAATGGCAGTCGCCTATGTCTCAGTCCGCGTTCCATGTTCACTTCAATAGTACAACCTGACCTAGTTGAGACAATCCCCCAACTTGGTTATCTTCTAGCGCTCCCAATTTGAATTTGATTTTCTGTGTGAAGCTCCCTTGACTACGGAATGTTGCATGACTAGGAACAGTGACAGGTTTATGATGGCTCGAACAGATACCAAATAACATTTGCAAGATACGCATACCTGAAGAGCGGCAAGGTTCACGAAATCGGTCAAAGGGGTCCGGGAAATTTTGTTCAGTCATTCATATGCTACTCACTGTTTTTGAGCAGAAATGTTTGTTTAACTGAAATTCAAGCCACTGATGAACTGAATCTTGTCCACCCGGTGGTCACACACACAGATCCACCTGGGTGTCGGGATTCAACACATTGCATGAGAATAGTCCCTGATTCAGATTAGTGTAGAATGCACAAATAGACAACCTAGATTTCCTGTTCCAGCGGGCTGTGAAGACGTATATATATAGTTCATTCTCAAAAACGGTCTGGTTCGCGACAAACGCTCTGTGCCGAACTGTTCGTAGTAGTAATTTGTGCCCAAGATGCCTGCCTGTGCCACTGTACTCACTTTACTCGTGATAACTCTCAGCTCCGTTCAATCACAGTGTATGAATTGTGCTGCACCATGCTATTGTTGTCAATGTCCCAGTTTGAAGGAGGAGGAACCCTATCCAGACATGCTCCGACGAGAGCTGTTCGGTGAATACGGCCAGTCGGGATCGCCGGAAAATTGTTGCAATCCGCAGTGTGCTGTGGTGATTCCCCCCAGGGGAAACAAAAAACGAGCTCGCGAGCAAATTCTCCCACGAAAGTCGATCAAACCTATCCGAGCAATACATAAGGCAAAACATCGAAAAAAAACAAAGCGTTTGAAAATGTTCCTACTACCGAAAACCGGGATTAGGTTGAACACACCGTCGGTGAGCGGAACGACAACAAGAGCAACGCAATCGAATGCAAAATCGCCCTCGAAACTGGACAGGGTGATATGGAACACTGACCGAGATATGTACACCGAACCAACAAAAGCGAGTGGAAGAATGGTGAACAAAACAGCCACCGAAAAGGAAGAGAACACACATGAACCGAGACGATCCACTTCCTATGCAACAATGTCGAACGAGAGACAAAGCGGTGTAACAAAACAATCATCATTAATACCACGATTACAACCACATGTGAAACGCACACAGGATCTATCTATATCAGTCAGCATCACATCGAATACGCCGTCGGTAGTTGCAATATCAATACCAAAATGGTCATCGGCACAACATACCGGTAGGTGTGGAGCAGTGATTATAATAGGACCGACGTCAAACAACCTATCATCCGCATTACAGTGCCAACCCAATGCTCAAAAAACGCAAATGCAAACAACAACAGCAACAATAACGACATCATTATCATCAACAAAAAAATCAGACACAACAACTACAAGCACGACAACACTGCACATGCCGACGTTTTTCTCCGCTCCAGTGTCATCAACCCCTTGCAAAACAATAGGAACCATAAAGTCATGGGAAGTGACTGAACAACCCCAATCAACTTGGACAAAAACGTCTACGAGTGAGACAGAAACACCATCCACACTGATCAGCACGACATCGAGCACGATATGGGTAAAAGCGGCACAACCTTCCGAATCTCTACCCATGCAATGCACAAAAGCATCTGCGGGGATCGCCCCGACGGGACATACACAAATGTCAGCTACTGCAGTATCAACAATATCACGTCAATTATCCAGACAAACAATGAAGTCTAGCACAAATACAGTGACGAAAGAAACGGAGTCAGTAAATGCGGGACTAAAATCATCGAAATCAAGCACCATCACGTGGAAAATGATGACGACGAATGTGGATACGACAATCAATGCGGCGGCGGCGACGACGGTTCCGTCGCCTTCTACAGGGACAATAATGACAACAACTATGACAATAACCCTAAAGACTCGAGTTGTACCATTATCATTTGCCATAGGAGAAACAACGATATCACGCTTAGATTCGAGACAAACGCAGAAAACAAAGGAAACTGTATCAATATCATTCAGAATCACATCGAATACGGCCTGGACAAAAGCAGCATCACTACGACAGTGGACATCTGCACAATGGACAGAGAATTTTCGAGAAGTGACTTTCTTCGGACGCAGAACAATAGGGACCATACAGTCCTGGGAAGTGACTCGACAACCTCAATCTCCCTGGACACAAACGTCTACGAGGAACACGGAAACCAAATCCACACTGATCAGCACGACATCGAGCAGGATATGGATAGATCAGACACAGCATTCTCAAATACTACCCAAACAGTGCACAGAATCATCTGAGGAGATCACTTCGACGGGACGTGTACAAATATCGGAAGGAACGGAGTCATTGAATTTAGCATTCCAATCATCGAAGTCAAGCACCATCATGCGGAAGACGACGACGGCTGCAGTGGCGATGCCGACGGTTGTGGTGACAACGAATGCTGTGGTGGTCACAACGACAGTGGCAGTGGCATCGACAGCAGTGACGGTGGTGGTATCTACAAAGACTATCACGATGACAACTATAACAACTAGTTTAAAAACTTCGGCTTTACCAATATCACTCGCAACGGCAGCAACAACGTTACCAAGTGCAAAGCCAGGAAAAACACAGGAAACCACAACGGAAACAGTATCAATGTCAGTCAGAACCACATCGAATACTCTGTGGGTGGAAGCATCACCACTACATCAAACAACATCCATACAAACCACAAACATATGTGAGGAAACGACCAAAGTCGGGTATACGCCAATTTCAAACAAACCATCATCAACACTACAGCATCAATCTCATACACAAATAACTCAAAAACAAAAAACAACGGCAAAAACAATATCAACAGCAAATACAAGAAAATCAAGAAATTCAATTTTCAGATCGCCAAAACCAAGCAAAACAACTACAAGCCCGACAACATTGCAGAAAGAAACGTTGTTCTTGACCCCAGTGCCGTCAACCCCTAGCAGAACAATAAGGTCCATAAAGTCATGGGAAGTGAGCGCACAACTCCAGTCAATTCGGACACAAATGTATACGAGGAAGACGGAAACCAAATCCACACTGATCAGCGTGACATCGAGTATAACATGGATAGAAGGAGTACAGCAATCGAAAATGCTACCCATACAGTGCACAGAATCATTTGAGGGGAGCATTCCGACGGGACGTACACCAGTATCGGAGGGAACTGAGTCGGTAAATTTATCCTTCCAACCATCAAAGTCAAGCACCATCATGTGGAAGACGACGACGACAGCAATAGCGGGGGTGATGACTACGACTGAGGGGGCGGCGTCTCTAACGGCTATAGCCACCCCAACTCCAACGATCCGTCTAAGGACTTCTGCTGTACCAATATCAGTTACGGCGACAGAAACAAATATATTAAAGGTGAGACCACCAGAACCGCAGGAAACAAAAGAAGCCGTATCAATGTCAATCAGAACCACATCGAATAGATCATGGACAGAAGCATCATCACTACAG